TTAACCACTACACCACCTGCTGGTCCCAGCAGACTACATTTCTGATATTCTCTTCTATTTCTTGACATTTTGATTTGAGAAGCTCTTCAGTGTGTTGGCATTATTTTTAAATTGTTCCTTGTCAGTTTCCCAGAGTTGTGTATTTTTAAAAATAAGTATTATAGTCAAAGTAGGTAAGCTTGTAAATTCCTCAATATCTTCCTTCTCCTTCTTTCACGTAGCTATCAGATATTGTGAAAAATGTCAGTTGATTAAACCTGATCGAGCGCATCACTGCTCAGCATGTGATACGTAAGTAATACTTACTCACTTTCATTTAAACCTAACACTGGGAACTGGTGACAGGAGAATGGAAGGGGGAGAAACTGTGCCTTGTATTAGCAAAATACTTCATATTCTCCAATGATTTGCTGTGCATACAAGGCTAACAAAAATATTTATGTAAGCTGGAATATACCCACAAGTAGCCTTTGATAATAATTTGTATACCAGTTATAAAATTTTAATATACTTTCTATGCTTGTACTTGTAGCATTGATGAACAAGTAGTAATAACACTTCAAGTTATCTTGAGAAAGATAACTGGATTTAAAAGGCCACAATGACAGTTTTTCCGTTTTTTAAATTATTGTTGATGTTAAAATCTAAAATTAAAAATAAAAAATTTATTATTATTACTAAAATATCATTTGATGTGGTCTAAGGCAACTGGACTTGTTCATCTAAATTTCCAGTGTAAAAAAATCATGAGCTTTCAACTATGAAAATACTTCTATTATAAAATTATCATAAATTATTTCTAACCTCATGTTTCTGGACTGTTTCTGTAGTAGTTAAAAGGAAAATTTAAAATTAAATCAAAGAAGATGAAGAGAAATTAGGGAATTTTTCTGCATGTATTTTCTTATGCTTATTTGTTTCTTAGATGTATTCTTAAGATGGATCATCACTGTCCTTGGTATGTATTAAAAATAGGGGAAATCTCATAAGGGGGTAGCGAAGGGGGAAAGAAAAAATTTAGAATGATTTACATTAGTATTCTTAACTTTTGAAGGTCAGTTTAATTTTTCATAGATATTAAGATTGGTCTGTTTTTATTTATGTATACACATTTATGTACATATTCATATTAAATGTTTTCCTTTCAAAATATCTTATGTTATTCATCCAAATAATGATGTATTGAGAATTAACATTTATTTTCCAATTTCTTGTAGAATTTATTTAAAACACACATCCTTAGTTAAGATACTGCTCTTTACCTCCAAACAACCCATTTCTAAGTGATGATTATGTTGCTTGATTTGTCTTATTTTTTATTATGGAAAAAATCTATAACATTAAATTTATCATCTTAACTATTTCTAAATGCAGTTCAGTAGTGTTAAGTTTACATTGTGCAATCTCCAGAACTCTCTTATCTTGCACAACTTAAATTGTTCTCGTTAAACAATTTCCATTTTCCCTATCCCACCAACCCTTAGCAACTCTCCATTCTGCTTTGTATTTCTGTGAATTTGTGATTTGTCTTATTTTTAATAGTGTAACTTTCTTTATTTTTCTAGGGTGAACAATTGTGTGGGATTTTCTAATTACAAATTCTTCCTGCTGTTTTTATTATATTCCCTATTATATTGCCTTTTCGTGGCTCTAACAGTTTTAGAGTACTTTATAAAATTTTGGACGGTAAGTCTTTTTTCTCTATCTTACATGTTTATAAGACTTTTTAAGATGCAATAATTTTTTAATAACTTCTTTTAATTACCATAGAGCACATGCACTAGCCAGAGAGAGACA